CCTTTGACACAGTAGACCACAGCATCTAATATCTCGATTAGATGATCTAGTGGATATTGGTGGCACTGCATTTAATTGGTTTAGGTCTTATGTGGCAAATAGAACTTTCTCTGACAGCCTTCTCAGTTCCGAATCATCTAATTCTTCAATTTTAGGGCCACTGCTTTTTTTACTGTATTTATTGTCTCTGGGCTCCATCCTTAGAAGGCGTGGGATCTCTTTTCATTGTTATGCTGATGACTGCCAAATGTATTTGCCACTAAAGCAGAAGGTTGGCATCTCCATAAGACCTCTCTTGACATGTCTAGACATTAAAGCTTGGTTGGCTTTAAACCTTTTTAATTTTAATGAAAAGAAAACAGAGGTCTTGGTGTTTAGACCTGATGGTCCCTGTGAGTCCTCCTCTATTGACTTGGGACCCCTGGAAGTTTATTTTAAACCTGTTATTACTGACCTTGGTTTTAAATTGACAGTGATTTTAAATTGGAAAGAAAATTAGAGCAGTGCAGAAGTCCAGCTTTTATCATTTAAGGCATCTGGCAAGAGTGAATTCTTTTCTTTCTAGGGAGCACTTTGAAAGAGTGGTCCATGCTTTTATTTCTTCCCGTCTGGACTACTGTAACTCACTTTTTGTAGGGGTCAGTCAGTTGTTGCTCTCACGTCTGCAGCAGGTTAAAAGCAGGTTGTAAAAGAGAGCATATAACCTCTGTGCTGGCCGGCTGCACTGACTACCTGTCTTTTAGAGTTTTTCTTTTTTTTTTCTTTTTTTAGAATTTTAAATTTTTTATGTTTGTTTCTGAATGCTTTCACAATCTTGCCGAGCCTTACCTGTCTGAGCTTCTTCTAAATTATGGAATAACTTGCCCTAGCGCATTAGAGAGGCCCCTTCATTGCCCACTTTTAAAACACGTCTTAAGACCCATTTTTATTCTTTGGCTTTTGTGAGTCATAATAAGTAATTTCATCACAATTACACAGAAACTAACAAACTAATTAATTATTTTATATTTTATATTTATATATTATGTCATTTTATTATTTAGTTCCAATGTACAGCACTTTGAGTCAGCTGTGGTTGTTTTAAAGTGCTTTATAAATAAAGATGATGATGAACATTTGACATCCCAATGGGAACACACAGTGTTATTTATTATGTAAATAATTCTTATTTGTGTAACAACAAACATCTCCTCTCTGGTTAAGGAGCTGTTGTTTCTGTTACAGAGAGGACTGAGGGCAAGTCTGCCGTCACCTTACTTAGTAGCTACTCATGAGTGAGCATTATTTTTACATCAACAATCCACAAGCAGCCTATTCTGACGTGGGTGTGGGCAGTGACACAACTTCTAGTTAAAAAAAGTGTTGCAACTTAGTCTCAGTAATATACTTTCAGTGAAATATAAATCAAGAGAATGAACCAACAGCTTGTGATAATTAATAGTAAAATAATGAGCCATTTCATGTCAGTTATAGACTTATGTTACTTATGTATTCTATGATTGTACATATGTGTGTGTGGGTGGCTGTGTGTCTGAGCACTCGTCTACAGGCACCTTCAGGCCTGGTGGGTGTGGCCCTGCTAGGGGACTGGCCACACCCGAAACCACACACCTGCTGCTGATCAGGGCTCGTCGGAGGAGCTAATTGAGAGTGTGGTGAGACATTGCGTGAGACTCCACGAGAGGTGTGGAGTGCCAGACAGCACCCAGCACGGGGAGTGCTGAGACACGGGAGCGGAGAGCACAAACACTGGGAGAAGACACAACACGGGAGTTTGGGGAAGGAACAAGATTCTCTTCATATTATGTCCAAAATGTGTGATGGCGTTTTCTCTAATTTTGTCCAATACATACTTTATGAAATAGTTGTAAGCAGAGCAAAAATGTTCTAATTTAGCTGCTCACTAATGCAGGTATCTAATCAGCCAATCACATAATAGCAGTATTTAGGTATGTAGACATAGTTCAGAGTGTTAGATTGAGTTATAAGTAGGAGATGGATGGATAGAATAACTCCAGTAAAACATGCCAATGAAGGTTATTTAAGCAAAGAAATAAAAGCATATACAAGACACTGTTCTAGGGTTCAGCCTGACCTTGTTGTAAGCACTAGGAACACTGCAGTTTAGAGGGTCTGCCTGGAGGCCAGTAGCAGAAGCAAAGCAAGTCAGGAGGCTGGCTGGGTGGCCAGCGATGGAAACAAACCAAATCACGGAGCCAGCTGGGAGGCCATCCGGGAGGCTATGGACAGAACTGCCCTGGAGTGGCCAGGAGTTTGAAGGTAAATATGTTGCAAAGTGTGAGAGCTCGTAGAATAAAAAATGAGAATGTGAATAACAATTTGAACTTGTATTTTGAAATTTCCACTTGTAAAAATGTTTCCTTTCATTTTTTTGCCGTTTCCTGTTTTGTTGTGGTAGTTGTTAAGTACTCATTTCCTGTTTTGTTTTACTAAATTCTAATAAAACATTTTACTAAATCTGTCTGTTCATCATTATTTGTATTTATGATGTCTTTCTGTGTCTCTAATCATTTCTTTTCTTTAAAGCCACACCCTGGTGTTCAAACATTATTTTAGAGTATACAAGAAGAAACAAGAAATGTAATACTTGAAGAGTAATTTGTTTATTTCATCTACACTGTTTGATGGATGAGTAATGTTACCATAACTTTCAAGCTGGAGTGGTGGAGTATAATATATCATCAGTGTTTGGTTTATTTTGTCTATATTTGTGGCCTTTCAGT